GGCATAAAGCAGTATAAAACTCATTTTGATAGCGTGGGCGTTTTGAGTTTTCCGAACAAAATATCTAAATAAGAAATAAAGGAGTACTTACATATCGATCCCGCTTGCCTCTAAAAACCAAGGATTTACCAAAGGGCGTATTCGAAAGGAGTTTGGATACACAATCAATATTTACGAGTAACTATTTGGAAAAAACTGGCTAATAGGGACGCTTATGGCCTTTTATATGCGCGTGGTGACGCTAAAGGATCTTTTTACAACGCTAACAACAACGGGAATAAACAAAGAAAAACAATAATGTAACTAGGTATCGTAACTAGGATTAAACCATAAAAATATGATATTATGAATGTAAATAAGCTAATTAATAAAAGAAAGAATGAATTGAGGAGTTGTCCTTTACACATTAGTACCTCGTGCGTTCTAGATCTTAAGAGTCCCAGTGCCACACCAAGATTCACCCCTTTGATGTAATTGGTGATAATGTTAATGTCTGTTTCAGAAATGAAACAGCCAAATAACATTATTATGTTTGGATGTCTCAAGCGTCTGTTTAGTAAAAGACAAAAATACAATCATAATTAGCATCATATACCCTAGCTAGACATTACATGAAAGGAAATAAAACCTGAGGGTATATATAAGCTGCCTTTATCAATTTACCTCAAATAATGCTTTGTTATCACAATTAAGCTTACCTACAAATATTTACTTCACTAATATCTGGATCTCCATACCCTCTAGGAATTTGTTTTATGGCAACCTTTCCTAAAGGGAAAGGGATAATATTCTTTGTGTAACTGGGAAGCAGTGTGATAATTCAAAATGAAATTGAAAAATGCATAAAGAATTCATTGAGAAATAACTGTCTGACTAGTACCTTCTTTCTTGAACATAATCTCTGGATCCATGGATACATGTTCAGGTGCAGGATATTTTAGTTGGCTTTGTTGTGCTGCCTTATCCCACAAAGGAGTAGTCCGTCCACCACGAACAGGCAACTTAGATCGCACACACAGAGGACTTTGGTGTATGTCATACAGTATAGCCTTCAGAACATCACTTTCACCTTTTCTTTCCTTGGGCTGAGAAGATGTACTTTCTATAGTGTGATGGTGGGGTGCTCTCTTTGATTTTTTATGACTGATTACATCTGCTAAAAATATCAATTATTTTATCAAATACTAAATTTTTATTATAAACAAGCTGAACATTAGCTTTCACAACAGCAAAGCTTTCACCTTTCCCTTTCTTGGGCTTAGAAGATGTACTCTCTATAGTCTGATGGCCATGGTGGAGTGCTTCCTTAAACTCTTGGTCATTGGTTATGTCAGCTAAGAAAATTCAAAACAATTTATTATCATGCACTAATTGATCAATTAAATACCAGATATACGAATAAGCTGTCTACCAACACAACCACTGTATGTTTATGTGTTTCAATTAATTGTTCTTATAATTGTTAACTATACATTTTCATGACAAAAATAACAAATCAACACAACCAAAAAAATGGTATCACTTGCATTTTATTGATTGCATCAAATTTGATTTAGAATCCTTGTCTTTTTCAAGAACCTTTATAAAGTAGATGGAAACTTTTCTAAACATAATTCGTTTCAGTTTCCAGCTGTCCATCATTTACAATCTTTGAGATAAACTTTTTCCGAGTATTATCTGTTATAACAACCTCACGCTGGGACCAGGCCTTCCTTGAACTCGGCCACATTTTTCTGGCAAAGATGGCGACTATTTTGGTGCGTATAGCATTATGGGTATAGCTATTGTAGCTTCGGGATCCGAGAAGGCTCGGGAAAAAATTCATAACAGCCGATCGGAATTCGGAAAATACGACCGACTGTCGAATACTGCTGCTTTGTTGACAGGCCTTTGCAGTGAGCCCAAACATGGCGGGTTTATTTTGGTTTTTGGAGCGACGATAATTTTTTATTTTTCAGCTATTATGGATATCGACTCATCGAAAAGGTAAGACAAGTACAGTCTGTTTAATGTCGTTTTATTTTCAAACTAAGAAGAAATCAAAAATTCCGAAACGATACGATTGACTTTAAGGAACTGTTTGTTCATTTTATGCAGTGAAAAACCTCCTAAGTTTATTTTAGAATTTTTTAAACCAAGCGGTTTGTTGAGGATTTCAAGATCGTTTTGGCACGTTCGAAACGAAGAATGAACTAATATAGCTCTTATTCTCTGTTTTCAGTGCGAAAGTTGGTCTTTCATGCGAAAGTCTTTCATATTTCGTGTTTGAAAAGTGGTGTTTGGACATTATAAAAGATTTCAAATAAGGCTAAATCACTGCAGTCGAATGCAGTCTAACATTCAGGTGAGTTTTATAAGTAAAATATCAGTCAACATTCATGTTGACTCTATTTGTCTACTGTAGGCAAAAAAATGACGCGCGCTCTAACACTCTGTACAAAAAAAATATTTTCCGCAAAGCCAAAATGCTATGTTTAGGATGGTCAGAAGTTTAATAAGCGATATACTTAATTCTTATATTCTTTCATCGCGATGAGAGCGTTAATACAGGCCTGACCAATTTCTTTTAATGTTTGTAGAATTTTTTAAGCTTACGATGAATGGATTATTGAATTCTCACATTTTGTATGCATAAACAAACCCATCAGCAGGGTAATACAGCAGTGTTGGTATTAAGCATTTGTGAATAATTCTGATTTTTTGTTCTGTTTTTATGATCTAAAAGTGCTGGCTTTTAGTTGCTGTGTTATAAATATAATATATAATAGAATTTACATGATTATAGTCCCCCTGAAGATTATTCTTTGTCAAGTACTCAAATAATGAAAGCTTTTTATATTTTTTTGGCTTTAGGTGCTGTCTTATGACTGTAATCTGTAAAAAAGTGTTCTTGAATATGCCCCATGAAGATGGTTATTTATCAAATACTGAAATGAACAAAGCTTTTCATCTATAAGAGCTGGATTTAGGTACTGTCTTATGATCGTAATCTGTAAAAAAGTGTTCTTGAATATGCCCCCTGAAGATGATTGTTTATCAAGTACTCAAATAAACAAAGCTTTTCATCTATAAGAGCTGGTTTTAGGTACTGTCTTATGATTGTAATCTGTAATAAAATGTTCATGAATATGCCCCATGAATGATTATATCAAGTACTCAAATAAACAAAGCTCTTTATCCTTTTCTCTGAATAGCGACATGCCTCATCGTCGGCGTTTCCCAATAGGTCAGTTTGCAAGGGACTTTAAAAGAAAGAGAGAGGAATTAGTGGAAAAAGTAGTTGCAGATAAGCTAGAACATGAGAAACTAAACCGAGAAGCAAAAGCATTAACTGAGAGAATAAATTACAAAGAAAGAAAGGTAATTTGAGAGATTTTTTTGTTCCAGTCCTTTGCATTTTTGGCCTGACTGGAATTTTTTTTTTTTAATTTTTTGATTCAGTCCTTTGCATCTTTAGCCTGACTGAAATTTTTGTTCTCACTGAACCAGTTCTTGCATTTTTTGCCCAACTGGTATTTGAGTGTAATATAACCAGTCCCTTGCACTTTTGCCTGACTGGAATTTGTTCTAATTTGAACCAGCCTTTCCTAGGATCAAAAGTATCTGTTTGGAAGTTAAGTAAGTTATAAAAAAACTTAATTTATACTTGTAGCTAGCAGACCTGGAAAGTGCAGAGGCCTTAGACAGTCCTTTGAAAAAAAAGGCACCATCAATTTCGAGTGTGATATTACCTAAGAGTAGTGAGCGCTTAAACCTCTCTGACAGGCAAAATAGAAGGCGACGCAAGAAAACAAAAAAAAGTTTAAAGAAAATTCACTGTGCTAGTGGAGAAAAAGATGAACGCCGTTGTGTTAATGATGGAATGTGGGTAACCCTCATAAATAACAGAAATAATGAAATGGCTGAATACATATCAAATTCTGATACATGTATGGATAAAGTTATTCCCCAAATTGTGCAACAAAACTTTGAACAATATAAAACCAGTATTGACAACAAGGTCAGGAGCTTGGAAATACTATACACTGGAGGAATGATTAGTAAAAGGAAGTATACCAACATAAGAAATACATATACAGGTCCTGTATTCAAAGATTGTGAAATGCCCAAAATTCTGTCTTACAAAGCCCTCATTTCTTTTATTAACACTAGCATTGAAATAGGTGATCTTTATAGCCTCCAAGAGTTTGGAAAATCAGTTAATATGCCTGCCTCACCTGGAGTGTATAGACAACTGGAACCATTTATTTTAAGGCTAGCCTACCTGTATCTTTCAATCCATGCCAAGAGCCCAATACTTCACTGGTTCAATGGAAAAGAATATGAGTTTCTTGTTACAGTTGGAGCAGATGCAGCACCCTTTGGCAGGGATGAGTGTGCCACTGCCTACCTTGTTAGTTTCCTTAATTTACTTAAGAAGGTCAACAGCTGTGATGACAATCATCTGTTGATGGGTGCAAGCTGTTCAGAAGATGATGGGCTACTAATAGTTTATACAAAGCAGCTTTTTAAAGAAATGGAAGATGTTGAGAGAAAGGTGTATGATATAGAAGCCAATGGCACAAAGCATGCATGCAAGTTCATTTTAAAACTTATCCCTAGTGATATGAAGTGGATGGCAACAATGTGTGGTGAGCTCAATAATGCAGCCACTTACTTTTCTTCCTTTGCAAATGTCAACAAAGGAAATATGGACACAAGGAATAGCAGAATTGGCACTGACCCAAAGACATCAACCTGGCAGCCTTGGACCTACAAAGGCAGACTGGATGTAGCTAATAAGGTCACAAAGGAGAAGTCTAAACTCACAGCTAGTGAACTGAAGGGTAGGACAAAAGTGACACAGTTCATTGCTAAATCTAAGTCACGCCAAGAGTTTGTTCCTCCTCTAGGTAAATATGTTGATTGTTGCAAAGCAGAGCCTCTTCACAACTGTAATAATGCATGGCAACAGTGGTTTTGTATTCTACTCACCCTAGCCATTAGCTTTGTTCCAGAAGGATCTCTGAAAAGTTGTTCAACAGTAAATGAGCTACCAAGTCAAAGTGCCTTTGTTAAGTTCATGACCAGCCTAAAAGAGGTAGTGAAATGTACCAGGCTATGGAAGAATATCTGCAAATGGTTTTCTGAAGGAAGAAAGAAGAACCAAGCTCTGTCATATCGCTTCACAGGAAAAGAATCCAAGCTTTGTTCATGGGGATTTCAGGAGCTCATCAAGGTTCTTCTGGCCTTTGTTTCTGATAACAAGACAAAGTTGAAATTGCATGTCTTATCCTTCATAGCTTTAAAGCTGAGAGATAGTGCTTCTATCTTCAGCCAGTTTGAGACTAATGATGCAGATGTTGGAAGACTTACGAGCCTATGTTCAGAATTCTTCAATGCATGGTCCATATTTCTTGGGAGGATAACACCCACTGTATGGACAATTGCTTATGCAGTTCCATTCCATCCCCAACAGCTAGTCAGGGAACTCGGTAATGGTTTAGGCCTGAATAGCATGCAGGGTAGGGAGGCCAAGCACATCAAACTTAAGAAGTACATGGAGTTCACACCATCCACCAGCAAGCATTCCCGATGGTTGAGTGTTTTCAAACATGAATTTGTAAATGCTGTGTGGCTTAAAGAAAAGAAGCCTGAAAGTTGGCTTAAGATCAATCAGCCACGCGACCACTTTATCCCCAAATGTGTAGAGAATACAAGTTTTTGCTACTGTGGATTGAAGAAAATTGATAGCCCAGACCAGCTGAAATGTGAAATTTGCAATAGCCAACTGATGCATTTAATTGAAACCAGTGCCAAAGAAGGCAAGCTCCACAACGACTTAAAAAAGTTTTCTTGACTTTCTAACAAAGAGAGACACTCCAGATCTGTGAGTTCCATTAATACAAAATAACCACCCCCCCCCCCCCAAACTACTTGGAGATCATTTAAAAGAGACTTTAACCAGCTATTCTTGGTACATTATCTAAATCAAGGCCACCCTTATATCAAAATTGAATAACAGTAGAGGAAACTCAGTTGGGGATGATCAACATTTTCAACAAATGAAAATCCACTAGACTTTGCATCTTATCAAACTAATTTTAATATTAACTTGCCTGTTAAGAGAGGTTTACTTTACTATCCCTGGAATATCCTAATCAAAGCCACCCATATCTAAATGGAACAGTTTAATTGGTAACTCAGTTGGGGATGACCAATATTTGATGAAAAGTACACTCTTTGTATTTTAGCAAACAAATTTAATTGCTACTTGGTGTAAAGTTTACATAATCTGGTGAAGTATACACAGGATTTTGGCATTTTCATTGTCATTGTACAATACACATTAAAATCTTATTAACCAGCACAGGGTCTTATATATGTACCTTAAATTTGGCTTGTGTTTATTATTGAATGCAGATTTTACTAGGTTATCATGAGTAATATACTGTAGGCCGTTCATCTGCGTTGACTGTGACAATGCTTTAGTAATAAGATGTTTTAATTTGCTTGTTGTTAAATTGACTTTAAGAACAAACAAATAAAATTAGCCTGTATTGCTTAGTTTTTTTGTTGGGGGGAGGGGGGAGATTGAGCCATGTATCAACACTTTAGATGAGAAATGCCAAAATAACTGACTGACTTAATACGAAAACTCTAAAATACTGCGAAAAAATGAGTGTATAAGGAGAATTACTGAGACTTATTTGGCTATAAGGCACTTTAAAACCAAATCCAAAGCAGTAACAATCCCTTGCAACAATCACTATCACTCTAAAGCCAACAAAGCCAATAATATTTATGAACTAACCAAAAAAAAGAGCAAGAATATATTAATGCTGAGGTATATTTTCTTTGTTCCAATATCCATACGAAATGCAGTAGCAGTAACAAAGCAGTAACAATCCCTTGCAACAATCACTATCACTCTAAAGCCAACAAAGCCAATAATATTTATGAACTAACCAAAAAAAAGAGCAAGAATATATTAATGCTGAGGTATATTTTCTTTGTTCCAATATCCATACGAAAAATTAATAAAAAGTACTTCTCTGTTCTTGTAATACCTCCAGGTCATTGGCTTTTCCTTTGTTATAACAACATCGCATCTTTCATCTTCTTCCTTGAGGTTCACAGTAAAAAATTTCTTCAACAACAGATCCTTCGGAATTGTGTCCCCATATAGGTTCAACTTGTTGAAAATGTATTTGGCTTTGTTGGCTTCATAGATAGTGACAGTGACCACTGCTTTAGTTTCAGTTTGAAAATTTCCATAGCCTACCTTGTTGATGATATCAATGATCACTTCGAAAACTTCTAAAGGAATATCCATTTCTACTTCTCCTCTCCATGGGTTACACATGTTCGGATTTTTGTGCATTTTCCGCAGTATTTTAGAGTGAAGTTTGCTAAGGGTCCTCATCACGATCGGCTGGCTTGCTATTAACTTTTGTACATGCTGGTTTCTTTCCCGTAAATATTTCTCTTCTAATATGATGATACATGACTCAACTTCCCAAAAAAAAAAACGAGAAATACAACCTAATTGATGAGGGTCGTCAGTATTTCCAAAGTATTCCAGTTTTTTTCTTTGCAAAATTGGAGTTAAATAGACAGATGGAGGATTTTCCTTGAAAATCCTTTCCGCCATCTTGGATTGTCTCAAATTCTACCCATGATCCAGCGCGCGCTGTAAGTGGCCGAGTTCAAGGAAGGTCTGGCCCCAGCGTGCCTGGACTTCTTCAGGTATCTCTTCCACATTTTCCTCCTCAAACTCATTGTAACATGCAAGTTTTATACATGCTAGCCTTGGTGTGCATTCAATCTTCAATCAAATTTTTAAAAATATGTCACAAAAATTTTGTAACTATAAATTGTTCAACTTTACCCAACTACCTGTAACTAATTTTAATTTTTGTACTCATTTTGCATTTATTATAAGTTGAGGCATGTATATATACCTTTAAAGGAATTTGCTCCTTCTCACATTGGGTGTTTTTTTGTCTGTTGAAGGTCGTTCTGGAAACATGGAAGCTCTGTGATTCAGATAATAATAAGCAAATCACTTTTTTTTWAACTTTTCATATTATACAAATGCAAAATAGTACCTTTCTTTTGGGTAATTGTACAACTTTCATTGCAGGATGAGCCTTTTGAAAAGGGGCTTTATTTTTTCTCCATTCTTCAATTTTTTTCCAGTCTACAATCAAAGAAAACATTTGTCCCTGTATCCACAGGTCCACTATATTTATAACAAATATCATTATACAAAGAGGAAATATTAATTTTGATATATTATGCTCATTCATGAATAAACCCTGACCTGTAATAATTAATGATTTAATTATTATAAGACAAAAAATGTAATTAATATGTAATTTTATATGTTTGATAGACCTCTACATAATTAAAAAGGTTTTATTGTAAATTGAATAATAGCTTACCATTATCTAGCCCTCTAAGATCAGTGCGTAATCCTTAAAAAAATGATTAAAAACAGAGAATAAAAGATTTAATATTACTATTTATTATTACTAAATGCCACTTGAAAATAAGATCATGTATTTGACTTATATATATATWTTTTGTTTGTACCTCCACCAACTCCTTTTTTGATTGACAAATATTGCTTCTGTTTATCTGTTGAATAAAATTGAGGAATAATTTGATCAAAACAAAGATATGCCAGGAATTATTTTCCAGGAAACAACATTTTCATGATTCTCCTACACTGGGTAATCCCTCTTCTTTACTAGAGGTAACCTGCCTCTTTATATAGTAAGTGTTGATCTAATCCCTTCCCCTTGCCTGACATTACACATCACTGTCTTACCAAGTAGTTTCAACTGATCAGAATGAAATTTGACTCCAAGAAGCTCCAAATCCTGACTATTCAAGTTGACAAAGCTTTTAATTGTCAGTATCTAAAATTAAAATAAATGGATGGATGGATGGATGGATGAATGAATAAATACAGTAATAAACTTAAATAAAAAAGAAACGAAATGAAGAGTAAAGAAGACCTTTTCGGTAAATGTCCAAAAATTGAAGTTATTTTAAAAAGGTCCTGAATTGGGGAGGGGGTCGTTATCCCTTTTCCCAGCCAAAATTTTATTCAAATCCCGGTTCAAATCTCACGATCTCAGCTTGGTTTGCTCAAATCTCAGTTATATTGCCAAATTCCAGCCCCAGTGCTTGAAGTCCCTTTTCCTAACTCCTAAAAAAAACAAGTCCCAGCTCCCATTATACCCCTTCAGGACCCTTATTATTGGTCTCTCAGAAATCAAGATTAAGGTAGGGATGGATCCGTATACGAACACTGATCTTCCTGGCCAYAGTTTCATATTTCAGCCAGCTCAGTCTAACGCAGGGGGTGTTGGATTCTATATCAACAATAACAATTGTTACAACATAAGAAATGACCTTTGCCATACAGAATCTGAATTTGAATCTTTATGGGCTGAATTTGAGATCCCCCATCAACACAATATTGTTTGTGGCGTGGTATATGGGCATCCAGACACAAAATTAGACAAGACAATCAAATTCCTGTATGAAACTGCAGAGAAAATTAACAAAGAAGGCAAGTATCGTTTACTTATGGGGGACTTCAGCATCAACCTTCTGAATTATGATTCTCACTCAGAGACTGAAGATTTTGTCAATACCTTAGGTTCGTATACCTTCCATCCCCAAATTTTGAAAAGAACTAGAATAACAAGTCACTCTGCTACCCTAATTGACAAAATCTTTTTCAACTCTTTAGAACATCATTATGGTGGCCGAGAATTGCCAAGTGAAAATTATAATTCAAGTGAATGTTTTTGGCAATTTATTTTGTCTTTATTTGCATTTTATTTCTATTTCAATTCTTTTTATTTTCTTCTGTATTTTTTTCCATTTAATTTTACATTTTATTCTAACTTGCTTAATTTCAATTTTATTTTGTTTTCGCTATATTTAAATTCCATTCAATTTATCTTTTATTTTATTTCATTTCATTTTATTTTCGTTTCAATTCAATTTATTTTATTTTTCATTTTATTTTATTTTATTTTAATTCATTCTGCTTTAATTCATTTTATTTTAACTCGTTTTATTTCGCTGAAAGAAAAAAAAGAAAAAAAACCCAAAACAAACAAAAAAATCCTTGGCCGAGGACTGCCACGAGGATGAGAGGTCCTGGGTTCTTTTGTGGTGATAGTAATTAACATGGCGTCAAATGCACGTTGTTGGAAGAGACATCTTTGGAAGAAGTATACTCAAGCAATAAAGGAGAAAAGAAAACTACCATCATCGAAAACACAACGAAAGTTTCATTTGAACAGTTTTCATAGTGTGCTTCCTTTAATGTTAGGCCCATCTTGCTCAACATCCTGCTTTGCTTCGGGTATAAAATACTTCTTGTTAAATCAAGGTTCCCCTCGAACTCTAAGTGCCTACTTCTGACTTTAAACACTTTTCTGAACCTTCCTTGGCCACAAGACTCTTCATTTCTATCGTAAGGCTGAAACTCTACAGTTACAGGTATTTGAGACCACGACTTGGACTACAAATCGAAGTGCTGGACTTTCATAATAGTGCTGCTGGATTGTACTTCGCCGATTTTACCTAACTTAATCATATCAACCACAGATAGACTGATTGGATACTTGCTAGGACTGCCAGATATTCTTGGTTTCTCACAGGATTTCATCTCTTCAATGCTGTTCGTATAAGTTTTCTTTAAATTTTTGACGAATTATGCGGGATTTTGCTGGATTATGCGGAAATCGTTCGATTGTGCGGAAAAAGGCGAATTATGAGGGTCCGCACCCGCGCATCCTGTCAGAAGCCCTGCATTTTGAAAATAAAAAA